CTTGGCCCCGGGCTCGCCGCTGGCGGCCGCCGGCCGCGCAAGCTGCCTGACCCGGGGTGACAGGGCGCAGGGGCGCGGTAACTGAGCCCCTTCGAGGGCAGCGGCTGCCGGCTCGCGTGGTCGGTAGGACCGGTGTGCCAGCACCAGTCCCGGTTCTGACGGGTGACAGCTCTGGCACAACAGCCAGCGACATGCGCGGCCACAGAGCTGCCTCTCCCAGGACGTGGTTCGTGTGGACGCGCATGTTCCTGTGGGGCGCTGACGGTGCTTTTGGCATCACTGGTGCAGCAGTGCCAAGCCAGCACCTAGAACACGCTGCACGGGGGAGCAGGAGGATCTTCCCAGACTCTCCTTTGCTCCTGTGTGCTCGTTGGGTCCCTGTTAAGTCCCGTCCCTGGTTCGACACTCTGCAGCCAGGTGAAGGTGGTATCCCGAGGGAAGGCTCCTCCGGCAGACTTGTCTCTTGACGAGCCCCAGCTGGCCTCGCTTGTGCATGCCCCTGCTGCGGAGGCTGCCCTCCCCAGGAAGCGCTGTAGTGCCAGGTGTCTGACCTTTGACTGGTCCCTGTGCCCCAACGAGTTCCACTTTGGCTAATCATCAGTGATAATTCTCCCCTTGGGCTAACTTCCTGTCCTGAACTGTTTGTAAAGCTGCCCTGTGTGACCAGGGGGTGAGCTGTGTGTACATGAGCAGAGGAAGTGATTCCCTCCTAGGAATCTGGGTACCTGGCTGGCTCAGTGCTCACGGATGCCTCTGAAATGAGAGAGCTGATCACATCTTTGTCATGAGGATGGGGTTTATGTCTCTCCATTGGCTCCTTTCCGGTACTTGGGACCTGATTGCAGTGTCCTGTGCTCTAGGTGTGGTTCTCCATGAGTCTGCTCAATCTGAGGTGTGGATAGTATGAAAATACAGGATGGGTGGCAGCAGGGAGGGATTCCCAAGTCTGTGACGGTGCCAGGCAGTAGCTGGAGTGCCTCTCCGAGTCTGCCGTGTCTCAGGAGCTGCTCTGAGTGATGTGACCTCAGCCCCAGCACTGCCTTCCAGGTTTCAGAGCCCGCTGTCCCTGGCTGCCTGCCACCCTCTCTGTGTTGACGTCTCTCTGAGCTTCGTGACTTGCCTGACTTTGGGTTCTCTTTCCTCCACTAGTGCTGGTGGCATGTGAGTGCTTTGTCGGCCAAGAAGCCAACACTGTTGAAGAGGTTTCCTGGGACACAGGCTTCATCCGTGTCTGTAACGACCCTTCAGCGTGACTGGATGCCAGGGGCCTCTGGAATTAAACTCGTCCCAGGCGTCATGCAAGGATCTGTGCTAGTGCCTGTGTCCTCACGGAAAGAACGATAACAGCTCCACATACGGTAGGCTCCCCAAGTGCCAACTCCCTCCATCTCCTCCAATGCAGGCTCAGGGATGGACTCCACCTTGTCCCTGTGAAGAGATTCTGCATGCTGTCAGCAGCCAGGAGGGGATTCTGCTGCCAGGCTCTTCAGAAGCTGCCCCACAGCGGGGCTGGCTCAGCGGCACCGTGGGAAGATATCCCTTCACGCGGCTGTGTCACTGCAGTGCCCACTGCACGCCCATGGAGGAAACTGTGTGCATGTTCCCTCTCCTTTGAGCTGCTCAGTCCACACTGTCTGAACTCACCTGGGCTTCTGGCAGACTATTTGCTTGTTTTCCCAACTGCTCTCCTTGATCCTGTTGCGTTCCCTCTCTCCAGAGCCCAAAAAGGATGTGAACTTTGGAATGGGGTCTGTGAGCAGGCTGCGGACTCGGTGCATGTGTGAGACTGTTGCCGAATAACAGGAGGACTGGTTAATCACTGCGGGCAGCCCTTCTGTCTGGCTGCAGGGCACCAGCCTTGCCTGGGCCTCTCACCATGTTCCTCCTGCTCCCCTTTGACAGCCTGGTTGTCAATCTCTTGGGGATTTCCATCACTGTCCTCTTCACCCTGCTTCTGGTTTTCATCATTGTGCCAGCAATTTTTGGAGTCTCCTTTGGCATCCGCAAGGTTTACATGAAAACTTTATTAAAGATTTTTCAGGTAAGTCACGTCTTGAGAATGTTCCGTATTTACAGGGGTCTGGTCAAGTGTGGTCATGCAGGGCAGAGAGAGGCTTTTGCCCCTCAGCAGACCATTGCAGGTGGCTGGGGTGGGAGGTTGGTTGGTTGGTGACACGTGCTGGTGCCATATGACCCCTTTGGGTCATCTCAGCCAGGTGCAGTTTACTGGAGCTCTCTTTGTGGGCTGTTTTTTCCCAGTAATTGACCCAGTAAGTCTTCACGTAAAGTAGCAATGTGCAGTGGCCCAGGGGGATCTGTAGATGTGCTGCGAGGAGGCACGTGCTGGGGTGGGCTAACATCCCGGGCGGGGCAGGGTGCTGTTACAGTTCCATGTGGAAGGAAGCCAGAAGGGCTGTAGGGTGTGATGGAGAGGGACAAGGCTGCGGTCGGCCGGCTGCTCCTCTCCAGGACATGGATGAAGCAAAAGCAGGAGGTGAGGCAGGACTTTCTGTACAGCAAGCCCTGAACAGTCTGCAGCCAGCACCCAGAGCTCTCAACACCTTCTGTCAGAGAGCACTGCCTGTTTATCTGCTGAGCCCAGCAGCCATGCCTGGACCCGCAGCCTCCGAGGACAACCAGCAGCCCTTGCTGACCCTCTTGGCACAGAGAGGCAAAGTGGAATTTTCCAGCTTGGGGTCATGCCGTTCCCTTGCCTGCCCTTGGCAGACTAATTTTATGGGCTGTCTTACAGCCAACACCTCTCCTTGAAGCAAGTCCCTGGTGAGATCAGAATTTTTGCCAGACTCCTAGTCAATAAAGCCTACAACACCCTACCCTGGCAGCCCAAGCGCAAGGAAAAAGATTAGCCTGTGCTTGATAGGGAGGTTTTAGGCTCTTAAATGTGGAGTTCAAGCTGCTAAATGATTTGTGGTACAGCTGCTGCTGTTTGAACAGGGCTGGTCTTCCCCAGGAGCGTGTCTGTACTGGCTGGCTCGGGAAGGCAGCACTGCAGCTTGGCAACACTCAGCTCTTCAAACTCTGAGTCCTCCCAAAAGCCTGAGATGTGCATGGGAAGACCCTGGGCTTTGTGAGATGCTTCGTTAACACATATGTCTGATCTGACTTCAAATTTAGTGACTGAACCTGGAGAAAAAATTAATAAGTTTGGTTTATCTGAAATGGAACTTAACTTTTCACCTTGTTTTTTCTTCAATTCAGGAACGTATAATCTTGACACCGGTTTTGGTGTTTAATTTTGAAACTTTCTGAAAAGACTTTGAAGTCTATTTCAGCTTTTGTCTTTGTGGTTGGAGAGGGGAGCACTCCGCTCACAGGTTTGGTGGAAAGTTCACTCACTGTGTTTGGTCACTCAGACTTGTATTTTTGGGGAGTGTTATTTACCCAAAAGATTATCCCAGCTCGAGGGGCTGGTGCTGCAAACCCAGCCCACAGGGGCAGCGTTCAGGTCTGGCAGTCCGTGGGACACGGCGGGCGCTGCGGGGCCTGGGCCAGGGGCTGCACATCTCTTGGCAGTGTGGGAGACCTGCCTGGCACTTCCCGGGTGCGAGTCTGGGTTTTCTGCTGCCGCAGCCGGGGTGGAGACGTGTCTGAGGGACGCCTTCTCCGTAGGCTGCCCGTCTCCTGCTGGGCCAGAGCTCCTCTTCTGACTTCTCTTGGGATGGCAGTGTCTCGACAGTCTTCTGCAATCCTGCAGTTCCTTCTGCTGGCAGAGGAGGCTGCTGGATGAGTGGACACTCCACATGCGATTAGTATTCCCACGTCGCTGCTTCCAGATCTGACGCTGGCATGGGCTGAGAGGACGCGAGGAGCTCCCCGAGCTCCCCCTTCTTCCCCCATCCCTGACAGCACAGCTGACCTGGGGCAATACGCACGTTGTATACAAGTCCTTGAGAAGCTGCTTCTCCTAGGGCTGTGTAGTGCAACAGAGCATGAGGCTGAGAGGGCAGGCAGGAAGACTGGCCAGTAATCCAGCCTGCAGTTTTTGCCGATGCCTTTGAGAAGGAACTGAGGGAGATTTCTCTGTGTAACAGGTAGTCAGGGCGTGGGAGTTGGCCACCAGCCGCCAGGGCGCGGTCCGAGGGTGCTTGCTGCTGCTGGTGTGGGCTGATGGTGAGCTGAGAAGCAGCAGCAGCCGTTAGCTGAATCGGGGAGGGAAGCATCCCCTCCCGTCATCAGCCTGATGTTTCTAGCAGCAGCCTGGAAGCACAGTCTCTGCTTTGAGCTTGGAAGAAGCCAGGGTTGACAACCAGCGCCCTTCCTGTGACCGGCCCCCTGTGCTGTGGTGTGGAGCAGGATCACGCTCCACCCAGTGGCTGTGCACTGGCAGCCATGGGACAGGGGCCACAGAGCCCACAGGGCAGGGGCTGCAGAGAACACCGCTGGGCCTCGCCGCTGAGCACTCCCCTTCCCTCTGGCCCTCACTCCCTTGCTTCCCATGGGGCTCTGCTCCGCAGAACGGCGCACAAACGTGTGCGCGTCACAACTGGCCTGTGCCTGTCACCCCCCCATCAGTCCTCTTGTCCCACTGCAGGCAGATCTCTGCTGTAAAAACGTTCCTCCCGGGCCAGGCTCTGCTCCCACCTGGGTTCGGTTGTGTTCATCACTCTCTTCAGTTCTGTACAGAAGCCTCCGGCTCCATCTTCTCCCCTTAACCATGCTCTTCCCTGGGAGTCGACTGTGAACAAGGGGCAGTGAGGAGCAGAGCTACAGGCCTTGCGAATCTTGTCACATGTATCTTGCAGTGGGCAACGCTGAGAATAGAGCGTGGGGCCAAGGAGAAGAAGCATCCATTATACAAGCCCTATGTCAATGGTAAGATCTTGCCCTGCATGGGTATGTAGGAAGTTCAATATTCTTTTGGGGAGGGGGTAAATGTGGTGTCTCTGAGCAGCTGAGGTGTGCTGGGAAGCCTTTTCGTATAGGTGGATTGGGGGGAGCTATGGAGAGGTCTGTTTCGTGAGGAAGGGGGGGAAGCGCCCAGGCAGTGGGAGGGGACTGGTCCATGCCTGCCTGCGCTGGCAGAGGGATGGGGCCGTGGAGGGTCCTGGCTCTCAGCCGCCTGTGAGTGTCGCTCTGAACTGCCTGCGGTGTGTTGTAGGGATCATTGCGAAGGAGCCAACGTCCCTGGAAGAGGAGATCAAGGAGATCCGCCGGAGCGGCAGTGGCAAAGCCCTGGACACCCCCGAGTTTGAGCTCTCGGATATCTTCTATTTCTGCCGTAAAGGCATCGAGACCATCATGGATGATGAAGTGACCAAGAGGTTCTCAGCTGAAGAGCTGGAGTCCTGGAACCTGCTCAGCAGGACCAACTACAACTTCCAGTATATCAGCCTGCGCCTCACTGTGCTCTGGGGACTGGGAGTGATCATCCGCTACTGCTTCCTGCTGCCCCTCAGGTGAGTGCTGCTGCAGCAGCCTACCTGCGCCCGGGGATGGCGGCCTCCTCCACTGTGGAGGGCAGCTGGTATCCACCCCAGACCCTGGTTATCCTCATCCAGCTGCTTGACGAGTAGGGCTTGTGGCCTGATTTTTCTATCGCGTAGCTTCCCTCTTTCTGCAGGATAGCTCTGGCGTTCACTGGCATCAGCTTGTTGGTGACGGGTACTACAGTGGTGGGATATTTGCCAAATGGAAGGTGAGTTCATCTCTGGGGCAGAGGGGATGGGGACACCCCTGTGCAGTTTAAGACCTGATAACCCTGAAGTTTTTCTGTGAGGCCAAACTGTTCTGCCTGCTGCAAGCAAGGCTGGTGCCTTGCCGTGGTGTCTGTAGCCTCTCAGCAACAGACAGCCTGTAATTTTAAACAGAGGGCCTAGATGTGAGTACTAACCTGTGGCAGAGCACTCAGCCCTGGGCTCTGAAAGGAGCAAGGACAGAAGAGAGCAAAGGCCAAAGTTTAGTTCTCATGAGTTAAGAATCAGTGGTTGTAAGCTGGCAGTGAAACCCAGGACGAGACGTGTTTCTGTGTATCAGTTGGACCTCCTGGCCTGGTGCAGCTGGGCTGAGTGGCCCCATTACAGGGGAGGTTGTAGCCCTGAGGGTGACGGTCTGTGTCCCGGGCTGCAGGTGTAAGGAGTTCCTGAGCAAGCACGTCCACCTGATGTGCTACCGGATCTGCGTGCGTGCTCTCACAGCCATCATCACCTACCACGACCGGTAAGGAGGCTCTGCCAGCAGTGGGCCCCTTCCCACGTGCTGCTCCGCGCCAAGCCTCTTGCAGGCCTCGCCCTTCGTTCCTCTGTCCT